CCTAAGGAAGTGAAAATGTGTGTTTACTTGTTACTAAATATTATAATTTTTCTTTTACTTATGAGCCAATTGTATATAGGACCTTCGGAGTTGACCAATCTGAACTTTGACATATATTAGAATTGTGCAATAATCATTTTCCAATCTAAAAGCAAAAAAAAAAACAACCTATAATTTACGAATCATACTTCTATCCCAGAAATTTCAACAGAATTAATAGCTTCACGAATTTCAGCCAATTCTTCAGTCGAAAATCGAATATTTGCTGCACTGATATTTTCTTCCAAATATTTCATTTTCTTAGTTCCTGGAATTGTAATAATGTTATCTCCCTATAAATCGAGTTTTATATGTAAGTGCATTTTGAAATTTAATAAACATTTAGATATAATTTGTAAAATATTACCTGTGCTAAAACCCAAGCTATACAAAGTTGACTATTAGTAATTCCCTTTTTCTTTGCCAGAACATTTAATTTATCAACAAGTTCTAAAATTTTTACTAAATTTTCGTCCATAAACCGAGGGTGATTTTTACGAAAATCGTTTTCTTCAAAATCGGCATTTGATTTAAATCTTCCCTAAATATGTTTTATAGAAAAAAAATAAAAGAATTTTAGATCTTATTTTTATAATATCATTAACAAAAAAAAAAACACCATATTCTCTTTGAAACTTACTGTTAAAAACCCACGGCCCAATGGACTATAAGCGACAATTGTAATACCGAGTTTTTCGCATGTTTCCTTTAATCCATTAGTTTCAATATCAAGAGACCATGGATTATATTCAACCTTCATTTTGGAAGTAGAGAAAATTTACTATTAAGTCAAGTCTATGTACACGACTTCGAAGTGTAATATTTATTAAATATTATTATTAAACTTGTAAAGGTTTAATAACCAAGTGCACATTTATATTTTGTTGGTTATATGAGTCCAATGTACTTAGAGGATAACAGATTCATTAAGGCTGACATACCTGAAGAGCAGAAATTGGATGCACTTTATGAGCACGTTGAAGGTCACTAGCCGAACATTTTGAAAGACCAAGATATTTAACTTTACCCTCTTTAATAAGTTCTGCCATAGCTGTGATTGTGTCCTCAATCGGTCTTAAATAAATGTTCTTTAATTTCTTTAAACCAAAGACTGATCCTAAATCCTTATTCCCTATACATACGTATTATTATCAACTCGATGTTGATAATAAAGATCGATACAATCTACTCCTAATCGGTTTAAACTTTTATCACAAGCTTCGCGAACATACTCGGGGGTACCTTTGAATCCCAAGAATTCTCCGTTTGAAGAACGGGTGATACCAAATTTTGTACATAGGAATACCTCATTTCGATAGTCTTTAAGAACTTTTGAAAGAAGAATTTCATTACGGCCTAAGCCGTATATATCCTTTAGATTATTATAAGTTCGAGGAGAAGATTAGTTTATTTTATTAGTTATTCGGCATATATATTTATTCTATTAAAATTTATTAATTTATCGTTATTTTTTTTGTTAGATAGTTTAGTTATACATGGGTGTTTAAATATATTTCACTGGATTCAAATAATTTCGCCATTAATTTCTCCAACTATAATTTATTTCTTAAGAGTAATTTTATACACCCATGTATATTGAATAGGTATGATAATTTATTGACAGAATTATGAGTATTATAAAATTTTTAGATGCATACCGCGGTATCCCAAAAATTACATTTTAATTCAATTGAACGATTTAATACGTTTATATTCTCGGCTTCATC